TCCAGCAGCATCCCGTGAAAGTGTTCATCGTGGAAATGGAAAATCCAGCTGTAGTCCCCGAGATCATGAGCGTCATGACTCAAATGGGCTACCGATTGCTTGGGCAGGTTGGTTATGCTGACAGGGTTTTCGTTCGGAAAGAACTCCTGCAGCCCGATTTCAAACTCGGACCTGTGAAATCTCTTCCGATGCCTTAAAAATCTCGCTTCTTCATACTTGCATATCCTGTACCATGTATGGAATAACAAAACATTGTTTTAATTGCAAAGGATTTCATTGGCCAAAGGTCCTGACGTCATCCTTCATTGTTAGAAATCTGTCATTTGGACATATTTAACTCTTTCTTGGAAATGGTGGGGAAAATATCCGTAAATATATGCACCGCAGAAAGTTTTCAAGATACGTCAGACCTGATTTAAACAGGAGAGATGCTCTCGAATCTCCGCTGTGGCGACAGGAGTCAGAGAGAGAGGAGAGCAGTCACGATTCAACATATTTTTCCTCGAACGGTGGAAACTCACAGGATTGGTCCCCTCTTCCTACAGCTATACTCGCCAGAATGACCACAAACATCCTCTTACCTTGTATGGCTGCAGATAATATGTTATGCTATGCATGGAAATTCGTAGTGTTTCGTCGTGTCTGCACAGGCGGTTTCGCAAAATTTTCAGCAAAAATGTCACTAAGAATCCGAATAACAGGATTTTTATTCCGCCCCATGACAAATGAGTGAATGTGGGGGGTGTGCGGATCCTGTAAAATCGTTGGCTTACAGATGGTCAAAGTCGGCATTTGGTAGGGCAAGTCCTGTTGGTCATTTATCGGGCCAACTGTTGCTCTCTGTTGGTCAGCTGCACATGTCCCCCGGAAATAACCCTCATGATAAACGGACTCTTCACGAAGTATGGGATGTAAATCTATAAATAAATAAGATGAAATTACATTTAATAGGCATTTCGGGGAGATATTAAATACCCAGCATTTGTCTCAAACTTCCACGTTTGGGAAAAATCTACCTCATCTTATAATACTGTTTAAATTAATTTCTCACTCGTTTTGAACCTTCGAGCTGGAAAAGTGTAAATACTATTCCTGTGAGTTCTATCTACCCTCAAAGGCCCTCTGGTGAGACATTAATTATTCGCATAAGTTATATTATGCAATTTTCGACCAGAACTGGCGATCCGACAACGCGATTGTGCATTTTTCCTGTACGAATGAATGTCTTCTATTCAGGCTGAGTCAGCTTGCACTGAAAAATAAGTCAAAACCTATCCCATGTTCTAGAAGAACTGCAACGAGTTGTTACATCAACTCATGCGGTAAAGGGACTAATAGAACCATTTTCTCACCAACCATTAGGCCAGAATCGCCTAGAGTATCTCCGGGCTAAGTAACCTCTTGTGAGAACTATATTGGGGAGTTCCACTGTCTTCCCCTAATATCTAACAGACGCATTTGCTTATTTCGCATCGAGAGGAAAATTAGCTGTTACTCACGCCCAATTTCATTTAAGTTGCGGCAAAGCTACCTTTGCGTGTTGGATGTGATGGTAAATTTCCTTCTTACAACTCGTATCGTGTTCCGTCTACAAACGTATAGAGTAGAATAAAGTTTTTTTTAGGCCACCTTGATATAGCCAATTTGTTTAAGAACAAAAGCTTGACGGAAGCGCCTCTTGTAGGACCACCTGTGCCCCGCTCTTCCCCCCCCCCCCCTCCCCCCTTACCCTTCCTTTCAGCTCGCCTATCGTGGATCTTATGCGACTGTGTGGATCATGGTGATCCTGGACTCAGTGTGACCAGGTGAAAAGTCAAGATTCTCATTTTCTGACATGTTTGTAAGAAGTGCCAAAGTGACGACCTGATCTAGGCGCGGAGACCTGGAGATTTCCTCCTCCGCGGCATATTCTGCTCCGTGAGAGGGAACTGAAGAATGCAGAACGAGGCTATTTATTTTCGTCTACAATCTATTCTCAAAGAGATTTCAAGTGTGCAGAAATCAGGGAGTAAAGCTCTTCAGTCGATATGAGCTTCCATCCCACGAGCTCTGACGGAGGCCGGGGTTAAGGGCATTCGATAATGAAGACGGAGATGGCGGTGGCAGGACGAGGAGGTTCTGTCGGGCCCAGCCCTCCTTTCTTTTCTCCCGCTCGTCCTTTTCTATTGAGAGCTATGGCGAGGGGGAAAAGGGGAAACAGGAGAGAAACGTGATCCTTGGGATGCAGCATGCCAATAGAGAAAGGGGGCAATTGGATATAGAGTTACACTGACGTAAAATTTCCTTCTGCTCCCGTTCACGTGAGTTATTACAAGAGAAAAGAGGAAACTACTGTATGTGTACTTCTGATTGGGATTGTAAATGTTATCTGTCTCTATTGCAGTGGTGCCCAACCCGTGGCCCGCGGGTAAAAAGTGACCTTCGAGGTGCTTACAAGTGGCCCGCGAGTTCCTAACCCACAATAAATACCCTCAGGTTTCCTTAAAATAGTCTCCTACAATACTAGTGACTGCATATGGCCCGCGATGGCTGTGGGAGTGAGCTATGTGACCCCCTAGCCGAAAAGGTAGGACACCACTGCTCTATTGCAACGTGCCGAAATGGCAAAATCGCAAAGCAATTAAACAGTTTGTGCTCATACAGATTAGGGGAAATCATTCATCAGGTAGTACAGGAGACCTGAAATATTTAAGTATCCAAGTGTTCACTCCTGGGAATCAGCGCCAGGATTGCTGACCTACCGACCTTTTCACGCCTCCGTTTGATTGCTCGCCTTCGGAAACAGTGAACGCCTTTTAACTTGCGTATATCATGGATCAATAGGAGAAAGAGAGCTCTGCCCTCTTAGGGCAGGTAGACAATTTATCAGTATTCGTACAGTTCTTTTCGTATTTCTTTGCAGAGGAGGCAATAAAAGAGCACTCATCATCATGGTGACCACAAATGGGGGGTATGAAAGATTTCTTTTCCGAATCATTTACCAACGCCAGCAGCCCAACACGAACAGATATACTGTATGCTGTACGTCTGCTTTCGTGAAAGTTTTTGAAAGAGATCGCACGCAGGCCAGACAACCTACGGGTGACCGTGAGATGATTACTGTCACGATGTTCGGAGAGACTGTTTTACATATTTTGAAGGCCACGAGGAGAGTCAGAGAAAAATGCCAAATCATCCGCACGAAGGTCACAGCGTCGATTGTGAGGAACGCTGCACTCAGAGAAATCGGTGAATCGAGACGATATACTTCTCTCAATTTTCGCATTTCGATTTCTTTTTCTCAAGAGAAAAATACATCAGCTGGATTTTCGATTTATATCTCTCGCTTCCCGACCGTGCCGGGTCGCCTGAAAGGCGTTTGCAAAACCAAAATGCGTCTATAGCAGAGTCGAGAGGGTGGTTTGAGTTGCCTTGCATCGTCTAGACGCATGTTAACCTCCGTATTCCACTTCGTGCCGAGGAAGCCTTCCCCCTCTCCCTCCCCCCCTGAACCCTCGGGGCTATGCATTGACAAGGGATTCACAGGCAACCACCTGAGTGCATGGCCTGTTCGCCACTTCACCTTCCCTCCGACCCGCGCGAGTAGCACGTGCGTCTCGAAGGGATTCCCATGTAACCGCTTACTTCATTCTTCGAGTCCAGTTTCATACGTTGTTTGTATTCCGTTTGGTGCGTTGGTGGTGCGTACACGTATCGCCAGTATGGTAAGATCCGACAGTTAACTATAGATAGTTAACTGTCCTTTAAGAATACATGGATTCCTATGGGAGAAAAAGAGCTCCTTCGCTAAAAGGCTCCGTTATCTCCCTTAAGTGAGGTTTGTGCATTTGGGCTCTAACTTCAAAAGCCACTATATTCCCGCAGTCGGTTTGTCTAACGTTAAAGAATACCAGTATTTATAGCCTATCATCTTAAATCAATTAGTGCACTCGCAAATTACTTTCGGATTGAATTCATAACACCTCCCCCCGGGTAGAAGAAAACTGAGAAAGAAAGCTCAGACTCCAGAGGACATCCTTCATCAGATGGTTTTAAATAACTGCGCTTATCGGTGTCGCTATCTGCAATCGATGGAAGTGCTCCTTTTCGTGTGTATTGGGGGTGAATGGGGTACGAACGGTGCATGAACAGACATTTTAGGGGGGGGGGGGCACGGCACGGCAAGGCACGGCACCCATGAGACAGAGCTTGGCGCCTCCTTGGCGATAGTGTTTTCACTTGAGTTAGACAATTTTTCCCTTGATTCGGACACACGTGCATGGGACGTTCCTCATGCATGAGTGCCGAAGTCAATTGAAACAGTGTCTGACTCAAGTGAAAAACATTAATATTTATCTCTGATATCGCTCGGATGGGGTTCGGCTTTCCTGCCCTGGCCCCCTGACTCTTCAGCCAAAATACAGCCACTGGGTACGAATTCAATCTGAAAACGACGTATTTCCTGAACCCTTTGAAGTTCCTGCCTAGCACTTCATCGCCATGGATGCCCAATATGATATTTCAGTTTCATCAATGATTTTGCTTTAAACTCTGTGCCCGACACCAATTCGTATTGAGTGTTATGCATGTTTATATTTTATTGTTAAAATGATATGCGATTGAAGCTGTGACAGCTGCTTCGTTGAGGAAAATAAAAGTGCCCCATAGAAAGTGGGCGATCACTGGACATCATGTGGAATGAGCACATGCTCTACGAGTTGGCGGATGCGACGTAACCCATAACAGATATCTTTGACGAGATGTTATAAACTTCAGAGAAGCACGTGATAACTCAATGTTACAAATTCTCGTTGAGATGGCTCGAGAAAGAGAGGGAAAGAAATCATAGGCCCGTAATTCAAGGATTGCGACTCTCTGGGAGGAGCAAGGAAGTCTTACTTAAAGCAGGATGGGTCATTTGAGGGCGTAGAGGCACCGATCAGGCCCAGAAGAGAGGGGAAAAACTTCTTCTTCTGAGCGATGTAAAAAATGATGTGCAAACCTTGACTTAGACTTGTGTTATGGAAGTGAGATGAATGCTGTAAGATTTTGAGTTCAGACAGTTTTCATGTTGATGGAATGGTAGTTGACTAAGGAATTCAGCTATTCTAGATTCCAATTCGTGATAATGTTCATCTGTGCAGGGTTGGCCAGGAATATATATTGATATTGGTTTAATATTGATCTTATTAACTGAGAGCAAGAAAGAGGTCTAATTGATTGCACTGACATGTGAGCTTTCATGTTTCTGATGATGAATTTGACTTCCATGCTATCCTCACTCTTTAAAGTCAGTACATCATAGATGTCTCCCTTAATTCTAATTAAAGTTAGAATGGATCGAACATTCACAGATCGGAGGAAGAAGATAATAAATAAGAAGTTGTCCATTCATTCTCTCAAGGAGACCAACCTTTGCCTCTTTTCAGCAGAGGAAGTAGGTAGCTCCTTCCCATCCCCTTCAAACATATACCTGTCTTTGCCATGAATGAAAAGCTTTTTGATCTTTCCCCCTAGTTCAGAAATGAGGCACAGCACCTGTTTGGGGCAGACATGCACTTCAGATCAAGTTGTGAACTTCAAAACTTGCTGCTGAAAGTCAATAAGGCAGTCAAGCCACTAAAGGATGTGCTCAACTGTGGTTAGGCTTTGTTCATCATTTCTTTGTGAATCAAAACCTATGACTTAGGGATGTTTAAATTTGCCATGTTGTTTTTCAGATGTCCCTAGCTCAGAGCTTTATGGACTTCTGTGCTCTCACTTCAAAGAACCTCCATGCCTCATCAGTTATTCACTATCTGTGAGTATCTTCTAAACTTCTCATATTGACCCTTCAAAGTTTTACTTTAATGAAGTCCCAAGTTGTGCTGGCAATTATAAGCTCACACTAAGAACTGCAGATTAAAATCAGTGACATCTCTAAAGGCTTTTGCAAGTTACCTGCAAAAAAGTGGTGCACTGAATTGATTGATCTCCTTTATTTGCCCCAAGAAAATCCAGCCCTTTTCATTAAGTGTAGTATGTAACAGACTGTCATAATTTTCCATTGTGATGGTTCAATAATATGTATTGAAATCCTCTCAAGGCATGAGAAATTTGTTGCGTAAGTTGTTGAAATATTTTCCTCAGCATAATTCCATTATTATTATCTTAATTTCAGCTGTCAGAAAATTGTGAAGGACTCCCAGTTGCAGTCAAGGGCGATGGATGGAAACTCTTTCTTGGCAGAGTGGAAGTGGATGAACTGGAATCAGATGACCTGCTTTTCTACATTCTTTCCTCCTTCTTCATATTTAACATTGAGTTCCCTCCATGAAATAGGAATACATTTGACATATTGCAAAGGTGCCTATTCAGTCTTACAGTGGCTCCATTGTGTCAGCCAGTAAGGCGTCTCTTGATGAAGCTCAAGTAAATCCCAAGATATTGGCGCATACATGCTATTAGAGATATTCATAATTTCATTTAAGGAAGAAGCTCTGGAAAAATATAAGTTGCAAGAAATTCCAACTTACCTGTTTATGTCCATAGTTACCATGAAAGATATCTGAACTTGTGAGTGTTCAAGAATTATGTGCAATATTTTCAGTTTATTTTTTCATTTGGCTTGGCTTAAAATAAAATTTTTTCTGAGAAATAGAAGGTTTTCTGGCTTGATTGGGCACATCTCGTCGTGAGCGCAACTTTTTTTTTCCATATTCATGGGGTGCATATAATCCAATGTTATGTTTCTGGTTTAAAACCTTGATTGAATCTATTAAGCTTCCCCAGGCCTTTTGGGAAATTCCTCAATGGACATCAGTTGCACTTTTTAGCCATATTTCCAATGTTATTGATGCTTTATAGATTTCATTTTATTGCCTGTTCAAATTGCAGTGTTTCCTGCAGCTTCTGGCATTTCATTACTAAAGTCATGCATGAGGTTCAAAAGCGACCCCACATGGCCTGGTGAAAGTTAAAAAAAGAACAACATTGGTTCAAAACGATGCCTTCTACAGAATGAATTGCACTATTAAGCCTGAGTTCAACCTGGGTCTCGTGAGGTCCTACAGCTTCTGCTAGAAAGAATTATAAGTACATCAGGCATGCCACGTACATCATCTGGGGACAATGCATGAAAGTTTTCAGTGTGGCTGCAATGCAGGACATGCAAGGCAAATTTCAACATGGCTGAAGTCCTTCGTGAAATGTTCAATGCTGCAGAAGTGCATAATATACCTGACCTATACACACAGAATCAAATTAATGCAATTTGGTAGAGAAAGAAGTTGTCCTCCATGTGATGCGCTTTCATCGCATTCAAAATTCGATGCGATAGAGACGCATCACATGGAGGACAGATTTTTTCGCGAGAAAAATGCATCGAACTGAGGCACTGCATTTTCTGTGTGCAGGCAGTCCTTTCCAGTCTCAGTTTTATTTATTCTCCCACTGTACTCCTTCCCCTTCACCGTCTTCCGGCACTCAGGATACACTATTGAGAAGACCCGAAATGTCAATACTAGTTTGGAATATTAATTCAGTTCTATTGGATGTCTTACGAAACCACAAGTTTCATCGTAGAAAACGTAAAAGGGAACAAATCAAAATCGAATAAAATCTACCGCTTTGAAGGTTCCCTTCCAAGTGAATGACATATGCCAATTATACTTTAACAGGTACTTTATATACACTGAAAACGGAAATTCGCATAAACTGACTACTCTCGTTTGAGGCAAGCTACTGTCGGAGAATCCATACTCACGAGTAGAGCTTAGTATATGGACTCAGTCTAGTCTCGCCTGAACATTCTCATCCCAGCAGTGCCTACGAATCGAAAGTTTTCGGCGATCCTCCACATCCAAAAACGGATCAGGTATCGATGCTGAGATGGCTGATAAGGGTGCCGCAAGGAGAGGAGTGGAGAAAGAAAATATCGGTAGTGCATCAACCTCTTTTGCCTCGCATGGACGAGAAATTCGTAACGGATTTTCGGCTCTTTGGAAATGTAATGAACTGCGTTCCTCTCACATTTATAATAAACTATATGCTCACATGGAGATGGACACAGGAGAGAATCCTCATTTGCGAATGTTGTGGTCCAGGCATCATGTTCCAAGTAGGAACAGGAGGCTTCGTGGAACTCGGATCCGTCAGTGAATCCTCTCGGATGTTTGCAAGTGAAGATCACCTTGCCGCCAAGAGGAACTGGATACTTGCCTTCCCATCTCTCGAAGGCTCTGTCTGTGTTCGCGATTCTCGGGTAGTCTGTCAGGCAAAGGGCTGCATCCGGAAAAAACAAACGAACGGCCTTACTTCAAGGTAAATTATAATAGTACAGTTCATGAAGCCTTAATGCTAGTCACAGGCGTATTGTTTTTTCAATATACGAAAGTCTTAACGTTGAAGGTGTGTGAACGATATTATTTATAATAAAAAAATTGAAATATTTGTTATGGTCAGTGACGAAATTACTCAAAATATCACTATAAGTGTTTAGGACTGTTTACCATGCGGCCTCTGTCCAGCAAGTGTAAATTCAAATTTTGCAGTTAATTGGATTGCTGCAACTCAAGCTTCATGACATTTTTTCAGAGAAGAAATACGTTCAATTGAAAGAAAGATCTATTGCAACAGCTTACATTCAGATACACAGAATTAATGTGACGCCTTGAGGCACTCATTAATTATTTACCTTTCTGGGTCCAATGGAACTGATAAGAAAAATCCAGACATGTCAATAGGCGGCGTAGTAATGTTCAATAGCCCGATATTTTTCATTTTCATGAAGATATTTGATAGTAATCAGGCAACGTATTTCGACCGGATTCTTGGGGAATGGAGAGATGCAACGAAGAGTTAACCCCATGGACATACGGAGCTAAAGGTAAAAGGGTTAAGAACGTCGGTTTGTTGTCCCGAATGTGAGTGGCACACGTACAAACAATCTCACAAAATTATATAGTTATTTGTGTGCGCGACCGAAGCGTTCCCATATCAACATACCGATATTTGGCAAGCGAGAGTTTGGTGAATTCATTAAACACTTCATTATCTTTCGAAAAGTAAGAGTTTTTAGGAGTCTGGCTGACGGTCTGTGGGACTCGGATCCTGACATCAATCCCGTTAATACACTTATACTTCGGAGAAATTATTAATCGCGAATAAGTATTCTTGCACCAGCGTCAAATGCAAAAGATTAAGGAAGACGGTGAATAATGAGAATTGTCACCAGAAAAACTCGGGCAAAGTGGGCAGTCTTTCTTGCTGTTGACTGGGATGTATTGATACTAATGGCTTCTGGGAGATCAATATACATGATACCGCTGTCATAAACTGCAACATTTTATCGCTGGAGTCATTTTGACATTTCTAAATATATATTCGAATCAGAGATAAAGCAATTGGTGGCAACGGTGAATGCGGTCACCATTAAGGGAAAAACTTGCCAAGTTATCATGTTTTTTGTTATTTTTCTTTTTAACTGGGTATACAGTATATTTCATTTATTCCATGCTAAATCAGCACACCAAATTGGATGACTATATTCAAATTGGAGGGCTTGTTATTACAATTGTCTTCATTGTTAAATATCAGTGAATAGCTTATTCTGCCAAATCCCAACGGATAATAATATGAAAAATTTGGTCCCTTTGTGAACAGGGATTTTTCTTAACTAACCTAAATTACCTCATCGTATATTTTTCCGTGTGCTGCCATTTAAATTAGAACTGCTTTTCACATTTAGCTGATGACAGTATTGGAGCGATGTGTTTTCCTGCTCATTCATAATTTCAAATTGAGAAATTCAAGGACTTGACAACCAATGTCACTCAAAAGTGTGTGGGAAGTATGTCTGCACCGAAGAAAGTAGGAAAGGCCCTGAACGCACGCGAAATCAAGGCGCCACTTCACAGAACTCACATTGGGCTAGAGTCGTGTACCCTTCAGAGGAGACGAGATTGCTCCAGTTGTATATTAGTTGACAGGAGCCATCCCGTCCCCGAAAATTGAAAGCGTGGCAAAGCCTTGACCGGTCATCCCTGAAGCATTTCAAGTAGCACGCCTCGAAGCCTCCCATTTGAGTTTCACTTGATACTTTTCCATATCGCTGCCCTGTGTTCAGGGTCCAATAAACACCGACGTGAGAGGATGATCTCGTTTGGAAAAGGCAGGAAAACACTGCCAATGTCATATGGCAGTTCATCCCCCTGTAACGCCATGAAACATTTCTCATCCACATGCAAATAGAAAGGATGCTGCCGGAAACTTTCAATAGGACTAAGAATAAAAATTAAAAAAAACTGCGCACAATTTCCTACCTACAATTTTTTACCTTTGAAAGTAGATACTTCGTATTAGAAACTTTAAACGATGCGAGAGATCCAGCCGAAGTTAACTTCTGTAAGATCATATGACATCACTGGACCATTGTAATCCTCCTGCTCGAAAGCATGGTCATCCTCAAAAGAAGAACGTATATTTATATGTAGGTATTCCATAAATATGTTTTTGTATTCAAGAGTATTTTAGAGTGGAATTTGCTCCTCAAATACTTTGGTTTATCGAGGAATTCCTTGAATAAATGTTTTAGCGTCAGTCACCAATATGTTGCCAATCAAGGAAGTGTCTTCCAAATCCATTTGTTCAACGCAAATTTCAACATAATATATTCCATGCATTTTGCAATAAGCTTGCCCTCATGAGTTGTTTGCTTCCATCTTAACCTTTTAGAATCGAACATCGAGCCATAGGCGACGCATTAGGCCCACTTCAAAAGCGTTCAAACGTGAAACAAATGAAACGTGAAACACACGTAGACATCAGAGATAAAGTCACACGTGGATAAATTGGTAAATCGAAATGATAAACATCTGTTGATTTTCGCATTTCAACTCATTTTTTCAAGAGGGAAAGGCATCTACTGGATTTTATATTCATATCAGTTCGTTCTCGACTGCACAGGCGTCAGCAAAATCGAATGCGTCTTAAGCCGAGAAGAGAGTTCCATTGGCTGCACATCGTCTAGAATCCAGACGCATGTTAACCTCTGTCCCCCCCTTCATCGATTGGAAATCTTGCCCCTTCATGCGCATAGTAGCAACGTATTCACTTTCGAGGAATTCACACAGAAGAGCGTAGGAGTGCCATTAAAATTGATGTATTTTGGACGCCAAAAAATATGTCCTCCATGCGATGCGTTCTGATCGCACGTGAGGCCATATTGAATTGGAAGTCAGCCCATTTCTCAACATGAGAAAATGTTGTCAAAGCAAAAATGAACGGCTCTAAGAAAAGTGTAAGAAAGGAAGACTGATTTTCCCCCAGTCTCAACAGGTGGAGGAGGAGAATCCTAGGTGAATGATGACTCTGGAAGGCTAGGGGTCTTAGCAGCGCCGGATATAAATGACGAGTATTGCTCGAGAGAATGCTGGCTATGTAATGTCAAACGATGTGATGAACTTAGCACTTACTCTTATTAAACTTCTTCAGCCGTAACTTACTTCACTTTTCCAAAAGCTTTAACCCCTTAACTGGGAACTTTTGAACGCATATGTGCTGTGATTCCATTCAGAGAAGGCATGTGCCAAACCGCACATATGCGGCGAGTCCATTTAAGGGGTTAAATACTGTCCGACTCCCCTAAGATGAAGAAACTATATCATGCATAACACACGATGATATATTTAATGAAACGGATCACAAAACTTATTGCAATGAGCCTGTCTCTATTCAAGGATTTCTTTTTCACACCTAGTTAGAAACTAGATACAAGAGATACAGATGCAAGAAATAATCAACATGCATAACAATGAGTTTAAAGAACACCATGGAAAGTTCCGTTGAAATGAAAGAACATTACGGAGATGCTTCACTTTGGCAAAAGGGCCTACAGGGGACTAAAAGTTACTCCTTTCGTATGTTCTCAATTCCATGTGTTATGTCAATAAGTTTGGCGAATCACGGCAGGTTCGCCATTCCGATCGACCAAGTTGCTATGCTCACAACTAAACAAAACCATATGGCGATTTTCAGCTTCTACAAAACAACTCATGGAATCGATTGTAATTGAGCACGCAATCGAGAACGAATGTGTATAACTAACTTTGTATGTTTATTTTCTTTGAAAAAATCTCAAACTTCGCAACAAGCGATAACGCAGTGGATATCAGCACACGAAACGTGGCCCGATGAGCATGTTCATTTATTTGGCACTGAATTAGTACAGCAAATTTAAGAATCACCCCCAATGGTTTGTTTTCCTCTCCATGAATATGGC